GAGCCACAGGTTGCCGACCCCCTACTCTAATAAATAAAATAATTCAAAAGTACAGTCACATCAAAGAAAATGGGAATACAGTGAAGGTAAGGCACCAAGAAGAGATTCATTCACGAGACACGAGTTAGTATTGGTACTTTTTTTCTTTTTTATGAATGCACAAAATATTTTAATATAAACTTAAAAATTCGTACAACAACATGAAAAATTATAGACTATTGTACACATGTATACAGACATACGTCGTACCTTTTATTTATCATTTTTTTTGTTTTTTGGTTTTATTTTTTTTTAGTTTTATCAATATATATATATATATATATATATGTATTTATATATATATGTGTACGTATAATATATGTACGCGTAAATATATATATATACCTATGTTTTTTAATCAATTTATTTATTTATTTATTAATTTATTTATTTATTTATTTATTCATCCGGAATGGAAAATTTCCGTATTTCTCTCTCACTAATGTTATTATTATTATTATTATTATTATTATTATTAATATGTGTATTTTTTTAAATATTATTATTATATTATTAAAATGTAGAAATATAAAGTGTGAATCATCGTACGGGCCGCGCGCGCACGCGCTGCTACTTCTTACATTCAAGATACTTGAGTTATTTTTTTTTTTCACTTTATATATATATATTATATATAGTGTATTTAGTTTATATATATATATATATATAATATAATATAATATATTATATATATGTGTATATATATATATATATATCCTCGTTTGAAATCTTACTAATTGAAAGATATTTTTGTAATAATTGTACTCATAATATATAAACAGCGACGATATAATAATAATAATAATAATATTAATTATAATATATAATAATTAATAATAATAATAATACTAATACTAATAGTAATAATAATAATTAATAATTATAACAATAACAATTGATGTATTACAATCTTTCTTGTCCCTTTTTTGTTCGTGACGCGACCATCTTTGTTTTTTTTTTTTTTAGGTTACTTATGATATTCCTCTCATTTCTTTTTTTTCGTTTTTGTGTTTTTTTCTTTCTTTTTTTATTTTTTACTTTTATTATTATTATTATTATTATTTTTGTTGTTGTTTAACACGTTGACGACGCCGGCACCGATTTTCAGTGTCTGCGCTGTGGGGCGGCACTCGAATCTAAGATGTGCTTCATCTGGCGGCGCGTGATTTTTGCTTGTTCAAACCTGGACCAAGGTGGACCACCGGTGGTACGTGCCGCCCGATGAGACAGTCTAGTGCGGGCCACCGGTGGTACAAGCCGCCCGATGAGACAGTCTAGTGCGGGCCACCGGTGGTACAAGCCGCCCGATGAGACAGTCTAGTGCGGGCCACCGGTGGTACAAGCCGCCTGATGAGACAGTCTAGTGCGGGCCACCGGTGGTACACGCAAGCGTGAACGTGTTCAAGTTTCAGGTATAACGCCGAAGCAATAATATTTATACTCTTTTCAGTAATGCGTAAATCGTGGGTACTGTAAAGAAGACAAAGAATTGTTGATTGAGATTTTTTGTTGGTAATTATATTTAAATTTTTAAAAAGGTTTATTTTTTCACGCAAATTTCAATTGTAATGTAAACGCCATTTATAAACGCGAATTAAATTATTATTATTATTATTATTATTATTATTATTATTATTATTATTAATTTTTATATTATTATTTTGGCAAATACCTTTTTATTTTATTTTGTCTAATTGTAGTAAGTCCCACGGATAAATATTTATAAATTATCGTATATTTCAATTTTATTCAACTAATTTCCTTCAAATCGAAATCCCCCGGTTTTTCCCGGGGGTTTCCCTTTCTTTTTCCTTTTTTTTTTTTCGTTTTTTTATTAATTTTTTTCTCTTTCTTTCTTTCATTTTGTTTTTGTTGTTGTTGGTTGTTCGTTCATTCTCTTTCGTATATAATTGTTATTTTTTTATTTTTTTATTTTTTTTTTTAACAAACACCTTAAATTTTGTTTGTTTGTTTGTTTGTTTTGTGTGTTTATCTTTTATCTAAACCCGATGATACCTAATTATGAGTAAGGAGATAATAATAATAATTTATAATTTTAAAGATTCATGTACGAGGTGTAGCTGCGCTCTTTTTGTTTTTTTTTTTTTTTTTTTAAGCGCCCACGAATAACGCGTCGTCGTCATCGTCATCGTCGTCGTCATAAATAAATTTTCTTTTCTTTTTCTTTTCTCATACATACATACACACCCATGAAATACACACACACACACACACAACAGGCATATACATTTTTTCGTTCAATTTATTTTTCAATTTTTTTTTTGTTTTTTTTTTTGTTTTTTTTTTTTTCTAATCGTCTTTCTTATTCCATTCATTTTGATTATGCCATTATAATAATTTTTCTATTTTACAACAAAATGAATTAATGTAAATGTTAATATCATTAATTGATATATATATATAAATTAATTAAATATATATTATAATATAATTAATAAAATAAAATAATTATATAATTAATTAAATATAAATTAAATAAATATATATATAAAAAATTATTTATTTTTATTATATTTATTTATTTATTATATATATTTTTTTTATTATATATATATTTAACAAAATTATTTATTTATATTATATATATATTATTTTATAAATATTATATATATATATTAACAAAAAAAAGAAAGAAATAAATAATAATAATAAATAATCATGGAAAAGTATTCATTAACATTTTGAAATTTTAAATTCCCGAAATAGTATCTTAAAAAATTTGAAGAGATTTAAAAAAAAAAATTTATTTTCCTTCGCGTTTATTTCTTTTTTTTTTTTTGTTACGAATCTGATCAGATATGTTCGAAGATGAACAACACACCCACATTGTTTAAAATTATAATTAGGAAATATATTACTTCCATTTCTATAATAATTCAGGATGTTATCATACTTTTTTTTCTACTTTTTTTTTTTTTATTTTTTTTTTTTTATTTTTTCTTGTTTCTCTTCTTTCGACAAGACATCGACATCCCTCAATCCTCTCAGAGGAGGAGGACGCGCATTCGTGGAGATGATATTTTTCTTTTTGTATTTTTTTTCATTAT